CTCCAAATAGATCAAATAGCTTAATGTAATTCTGGAAAATATGAAACTATGAAAGGAAAAAGTAGGAAAAATAATTCAAGACATAGACACAAGCAAGACCTCTGTATAGGACTATAGTTTGGTCATAAAATAAGGCCAACAATTTACAACTGGGACCCTGTGAAGTTAATAAGCTTCTCTATATGAAAAGCATAACTACTCCAGTGAAGGCACAGACTAAAAAACTAGAGAAAATCTTTCCCAGATTTACAGTAGTCAATTGATTAATATCTGGAATATACAGAGAATTAAAAAAATTAAACACCATGAACACAAATAAATAAAAATGGGGTAAGGAATGAAAAGAGACTTCTCAAATGAAATAAAAATGAACATAAAACATGTGATTATGTGTTCAATTTCCTTAGCTATTAGAAAAATGCAGAGTCAAACTATTTTGAGATTCTATTTTAACATCAATTAGAATGAATATCATCAAGAAAATAAACCACAGAGTGATGGTGAGGATTTGGAGAAAGGGAATTGTTATTCACTTTTGGTGACGATATAAACTGGTGCATTTACAGCTATTCAAATAAGTGTGGAAGTTTATCAAAAAACTAAAAATAGAAGTATCAAACTGTCCAGCTATATCACTTCTGGACTTATTCCCAAAGGACCCTATATCCTACCATAGAGATTCTTGCATATCCACATTTATTGCTGCTCAATTCACAATAGCAAGGAAATGGAATCAGCCTTGATGTCCATCAACTGATGATAAAGAAAATGTGGTGCATATATCCAATGGGGCTTTATTAGTAAAGAAAAATGAAATTGTGAAATTTGCATTGAACTCAATGAAGCATGAAAATATTATATGAACTGAGGTATCCCAGATATATAAGGACAAACCATATGTTCTCATGCGTATGCAGATCCTATCTTTTAATATAAAATATTGTTAATTATTATTGTTCTGTGTGTATGATGTGTACTTAGGCAAGTCCATACCATGGTGTATAAGTGAATGTAAGAGGCCAACTTTATGGAATCTCATCTTTTTTCCCACCTTTATTTCTGTTCTGGAGATTGACCTCATTTCATCAGGCTGATACAGCAAGTACCTTTACAAGATGAATCATCTCATCAGCCCCTAATTTTTATATATGTGTATTTAGGTGATCACATCTCTAGAGTTCAGGAAAATAGAAAGGGACTCCTAAGAGGACAAAAGGTTTGGGGGGGAAATAATAGAACACGTGTGCTATAAAAGTGAAGAGGAAATAACAGGGTGGATAAGTTTAGTCAGAGTGGGAGGGCTGAGGCAGGGAGAGGTGACGGTGTTAAGTGAATCAAAACAAATATGTATGAAAATGTTGTAAGGAAATCCATGACTTTGTAAGCTACATAAAAAATAAACCAAAACACAGAAGCAGAATGTTAACAAAATATTTGAAGATGGTTCAGGAGGTCTCTAGAAATCTACAGTGGGGAACTTGATTTCTACAAACAGCGACAAGGTAGAAGCAGAAAGAATGAGAGAAGAGTGAATCATTATATACACAGAAAAAGGGTCCAAGCCAAGGACAACACTGTTTTAAATATTTTTGCCTAAGACCTAAGTATGTTAGAATGAGTTTCATGAGACTCATGTAAAATTAGCTATGTAAACCAAAAGTAATAATGTTGTAGGAAGAATTTTCCAAAACTGTTTAATAAACAACTAGGAGTGAAAGCTGTTGAGTAAATGTCCCTCAGCATTTATTTCTCGCTAAACATTGTGAATTGTTCTCTTCTTGGATATCATTGGCAGCATCTGGGATGACAGATGAGAAGACAGAAGGATTAACATGTGTTGAAATTAAGTACATGGTGGATCAGAAACAAACCTGTGTCAGTCATCATAATCCATGCACAATGTTTTATTTTTATTATTTCAAAACTTGGATTAAAAAATCATAAAATAATTGAACCAATATTAAATCTTCATTACAATTAGCACTTAGAAACAAATGATCTGATTAAATATCAGTGTGTGAAGAGAAATATTCTTCTTTTAAATTTGTTTTTATTCAATTTTTGTTTATTTTTATACAGAATTTCTCAAACAATCTTCATCATCTTCATACCCCTGTCCCCAATGGAACAGTCTCATACACCCCCCCCCCACTGGAGTCCATATACTCTGTCATCCCTGTTAAGGCTCCACTGGCATTCATATACTCTGTAATTCCTACTGAAGCATACTGTTTCAAGACACTGTCCCCAGACATTCCCCAGTACAAGTCCATCCACTGATGTCTAGTCATCCCACCTATAGTCCCTTGTTTTAGGAAGATCAGCTCTTCTTCACATAGCAGTAATCAGTTGCCAACATTCCTTCAGATAAGACTGGGCTCTGTTGTTCATTTCCCCAGTTCTATGGCGGGTTTTTGTCTGCCTGAGTTTGCTAACACTAGTGCAATAGAATCACATGAACAGGTCCCAGGAGCTTGTAGGATTCTGTTTCCATATGATCATGCACCTTCTTCCCGGCTCTTACAAACTTTCTGACCTCTCTTCTGAGATGGTCCCTGAGCCCTGGGTGGGTGTAGTTTAATAATGGAGTCTTGTCCAAGGACCAGCATTCAGCAGACTCTTGATCGCCACACTTTGGCCATTTGTGACCTTTTGTGTTCCTAGCTTTCCATTGTATGAGGGAGCTTCATTATTGAGGACTGAAAGATTCATTACTGTCCTCTTCTTTATCCTTCTTCTATGTTTCATCAGCCTTAAGTGTAGCGGTTGCATTGTAGATGTGTCACTTAGGTCTGGGCAATTCATAGACAAAGTCTGTGTGTGACCAGTTGAGGTACTTGGTAATAGTCTCTGACTGGTACAAAATGATCTTCTTTGATGAGTGGTGACTTGGGATATTTGTCTGTAAATATAAGGATACATATTTTGTACATAGTAAGAAATCACATTACTCTAGGGATGTGACAGTCTTGGGGTTTTCTCTAAGATCTATGACCAGTCCAGCCATGTGTGTTTGGTTATGTATATAGTACCACACTTGAGTTTCCTCCCACTGAGTGGGCGTTTAGTCCAGTTAGGTAGCTGTTGATTACCTCCAATATATAAGTGCCACTCCTGCACCAATGTCATGTACTGTGCTGGCCATTGATGTGGTTATTTGGTCTTGAAGCTCCTGCTGGGCCATCGATTGATGCTTACCTTTGGCACCTTCATAACACTCCCCAAAGCTATGAGAGCTACCCTTCAGGGAAGTGGTTTCAGGACAGTTGCAGCTCTAGTGCTATAAATCCTGTGTCTGAAGTATGTTCTGTCTTCAGCGGTAGGATCTTACCTTCAAGTTCTGGGAGGCCATCAAGGGCTGTGGCAACAGACTGAGTAATTTGGGGAGTCTCTTGGACCACCCAGGCCAATAACTCAAAGGAAGTTTTCTCCTGTCTGGCATTGTTTCTTATTATGTGGCCTTTAGATATACACATGGACACATGTAAAGATATTGTATGTGTAATTTTTCATTAAGTTGTTGAACTAAAATTATTCCCTCTTTTTTCAAATAGCTAGGCATTGTTTATCTCCTCTCTCTCTCTCTCTCTCTCTCTCTCTCTCTCTCTCTCTCTCTGTATAATGCTTACTCCAAGGTTTTCCCATTGAAAGAAGAGAAATTGAAACTTTTTGTAAAGTAAATTTATTTTCAAAACCTCATTGTGCAGGGTGTGGTGGTTCATGTCTTTAATCCCAGAACTTGGGGGGCAGAGGCAAGTGGATCTCTGAGGGTTTGAGGCCACCCTGGTCTACATAGCAAGTTCCAGGCCAGCTGGAACTCAAAAAAAAAAAAAAAAAGAAAGAAAAGAAAAGAAAAGAAAAAAGGAAAAAGAAATCACATTATTATCTGCACAAGTAAAGCTTAAGAGAATGATCTGTAACTGTACTGATGCACTGTACTGATGAGTATTTCAGTAGCATTATTTTCAGTTCAATAGTCAAAGTTATGAAAATTGAAAACACCAAGGAAATTGAAATGTGGCCAACTTTTAAATTCTGCTTTTGGTGGTGGCTCAAGCATTTAGTCCCAGCACACAGGGGACAGAGACAGGAGATATCTGTGAGACTGAGGCTGACATGGTATACATAATGAGTTCCAGTCCATTTGAAGCTACAGGGAGAAAATGTGCCAAAAAAAAATCCACTTTTCAGTTTCAGTTTCTGGTGTCCTGCTACCATTACTATGGTCAGGAAAATCAGGCCTCCTCTTCACCTTTCGTCCAGTGTTGCTTCTGTACTGGTCACTCAATAGTTTCCTCTGGTGATATCTGGATAAGAAGTAGTCATTGCTGACTCCCTCATGGGATCGTCCCCAAAGCATTCTCACACCAAATTGGTATGTATGAGCCGATTACTTGTCTCTAGAACTCTGATACATACATCATTGGTTTAAGCAAAAGATACCTCTCAAGAAATTCAAGATGAGATTCACCTTATGCAGCTGATGTGCTAAACCTACACTGAATGATGGCATCAGATGATACAGGAACACATACATCTGAGGTTCTTCAAGTGGTCTGCTATCTGCTTGTCCTGAATCCTGGTTATTTTGAGCAGTCACTGAGATCTATGGTGTAATATAAGGTTTTTCCTCAGAATAGTTTGAATAAACTTGTGCTTCTACTAGCCAAAATATTTTAACAGCCCTCCACAGAGATTCTTCAAGGTTTGGTATTAATGGCAAATAACCAGATACATAAATTGTCTCCATTCTTTCTTGAATTACTACATCATAACGAAGCACAAATTTCAAATCTCTTTAACATGTGCTCCAGAATAATGTTAGCGGCCACCTTAGAATTGCTGCCTAATATAATGTGAGCAAATCATGTCTGATTCCTTTTAAGGATGCTTTCCCAGAGAGAAACATGTCCATATTCTACAAGGAAAATCAATAAAGATTTCAAAATCACTTTGACTTTTTAACTCATAACTTTATTTATGTTATAAAAGTTCAATGGCTATTTTCCTTCAGAAACCAAAACCAATTTCTTCCACATTCTTCTCATCGCATTTTTCATGTCCTTGTTTCTAAAAGTATAAATCACAGGATTCAGTAAGGGAGTTAAGATGGTGTAAAATATTGTGACCGTTTTATCAAAGTAGAAAGCAGATGGAGGTCGAGCATATATAAATATGCAGGGGACAAAAAACAAAACCACAACAGCAATGTGGGATCCACAGGTGGAGAGAACTTTCCATTGACCCTCAGAATTGTGACTTCTTAGAGCAAACAAGATGGCAACGTAGGAGACAAGCAACATACAGAAGATTATGATGCAGATAGACCCACTGTTGGCAAACACTAAGAGGCCATAGATGTAAGTGTCAGTGCAGGCAAGCTCCAGCAACGGAAACAAGTCACACATGAAATGGTCAATGACATTGGGTCCACAGAACGGCAGCTGCAAAGTGAAGATAATCTGTATGGCAGAGTGCAAGAAGCCCCCTGCCCAGGCCACTCCCACCAGAGTGCCACAGAGTCTCCTGTTCATGATGGATGAGTAGTGCAGGGGCTTGCAAATGGCCACATAGCGGTCATAGGCCATGGCTGTCAGGACAATCACTTCAACTGCAGCAAAGAAGTGTTCAGCAAAGATCTGTGTCATGCACCCTTCAAAGGAGATGGTCTTAATTTCACAGAGAGAATCTGAAAGCATCTTTGGTGTGATGACAGAAGAGAAACATGCATCCAGGAAGGACAAGAAAGCCAAGAAGAAGTACATGGGGGAGCCCAGCATGTCAGGGCTGTGGACGATGGTCACCACAATCAGCATGTTGCCTCCAACAGTAGCAAGGTAGACCAACAAAAATACAGCAAATACAATTTTCTGGACTTTGGAGTTCTGTGACAGTCCCAGAAGTATGAACTCAGTTACAAAACTCTGGTTTTTCATAATTTCAAGGACAAGGTAGATGTAAATTTGCATTCATGTGAATCTGCAATCACGAGATGAAACACTTCCAAAAAATGTATCTTACCATCAACATGTTGATGTAATAGTATGAAAGTTTATCTAGATTTTAAAAAAGAAAATTAGAAGTTTTATTACTGGAGATCATGCAGAATTAAGGTAAAGATAAATTGCTCAGTAGCTATTTTCATTTCAAAAAATGCTACGTTAGAAAAGACAAAGAATTTGTACTCAAAGTGCCAGCTTTCTTTTTTTTAAAATTATCATTTTCTAATAACGTCCTGATGTGAAATAATGAAGAAACTTCTGAAACCATATCCAGGTTATCCGCGTTATGCATAAACAAAGGGTGCAGTTTATTAAATCATGACTGTCATCTGCCTGGAGAGCGGGTAAATGGTGCAGTTTGTCATAGCTGATCAGAGTATCGTGTTCTCTACCAACAGAATAGTCAAGCTGCAGTTAATGATGCACGTTTTAATCCTGGCCACATTTTAAATATTCTTTAAAGTATTTAAGATTATTGGAATTTAAAATAAATTAATTTAATCTATATAAAACACAAAGACCTATAGGATATGCCTATCTCTATACTTGAGGTACATGCCTGAACTGTTGAGATTTCAACTATTAATTCAACACTTTAAAATGTAACAATGAGAGCATAGCAAAAACAATGCTTGTTGTCATGATGACTCAGTGAAGTAATGCAAACAAAGCGACTGCTTTAGACCTTGGCAACACTATGCTGTAGGTTTTATTATTGTCATTTTATTGTATAAAACTTTTATTTAGAGATATGAAGTTCAAACAAAAAAAAATGCTTAATCTGGAATTTTACCAGAAAGTGTCAGTTTTCAAAATGCAAAATCTGTCCTTGGGATGAACAAGACAGGAGTGGGACTTTTTCTTTTGGGGACAAGTACTTCAGTGTAGTGTTCGTCTTTCTACACTCTTCTTCCAGATATAAAAGGTACAGCATCTTATTGCTTTGTTAATGTGTGATGGATGCATCTTGATAAAGTTAACAGAGGAAATTATAACAAATTAAAAGACAATGCCTCAATCAACCTCATTCTAAATTGGCAACAGCAGCATAGGTAAGGATGAGAAACTACAGGTTGGATATAAATTTAGTCTTGGGATTTTATTATTGCCAGTTATTTATATAATGTGGCCTTGTATGCACAAACCAAATTTGTCAAAGATATATAACTATAAATTTAATACTGTTTATATACCAAGGAATGTCTATAAACATCATACCAGATAAACTGCAAGGATCATAAAAAACAACACATGTAAACATGTGATAATATTACTCTTGATACAGTGCTATGACCAATTCTAGTTATAACTCGTTCCCTTAGAATCTAACTGCCTTACCCACAGAAAGTTTTTCCAAGTTACCATGCAATAAATAGTCCAGCAGTTGAATTCATTTTCCACAGGTAGATATTGCTTTGAACTGTGTCTGAAAGGTTTCCTTTGCAGGAAATTGAATGTATTAGTAAAACCTGTTTTTAGTATGTGCATATGTCAATGTGTATGCATGCATATATATTTGTTATAAATATATGAATAAAGGCATAAGGTGTGTGTGCTGAGGAAAAACAAACTGATTTTAATGACAAAGCTAACTGACATGATTTTGCATATTTATGCATCTACCATATGAAGTTATGTGCATTTACTTTAAAGCATCAATTCCCATTGTGTTCTCAAGCCCCATTACTCAACAGCACCTGTAATAACAACTTCAGTTCCACTCAGACGCTACAGCTAAGGAAAGAGCAGCAGAAAACAAATCCAAAAGTCATTAGACCAGACAACAACCACTTATAATAGAGTAGGAAAATCAATAAAAATTTAGCAATTGCCAGACCTGGTAAGCAGAGACAGGGGATCTCTGTGAGTTCAAGGCCAGCCTGATCTACATAGTCCACAACGACCATAAATGTCCAAAAAAGAGAACAGCTATAGACTTTGCTCAAATCTAGTCTCCTCTATTTTGGATCAGGTTATGTGAAGGTCCCTCAAATTTTATGTTTCAAGTTTCACTGCAAATGGAAATACTAGTGGAGTCACAGCCTCGGGAGAAGATTATGTGCTGCAAATCAGCTGCCCCAGCACAGAGGATAGTTTTTTTCCTACTTCCTGGTTTTGCATGGTTGAGGCTGATGGGATTTTTTTCTTCAGATTTATTTGAAAATGTGAAATATTGTGGCTTCCTGAGTACAGTGAGAAATGGCATTAAAATGTGTAATACATTTTTATGTCCTTAGTCATCCTCAGGTCAGTACTATGGCCCACAGACTCACCAGCATGTACTCCTGCTTCATATAGCCTTATTGTAAAAAGAAAATAAAATTGAGGAGGAGGTTCAAAGGAATACAAAGCCTCATTTTAACATAAAAATAAAGCTAATATTTCAACTATATATTTCATGTCCTAAAAGCAATACAATTTTTAATGAACATATTCATTAGTTAAAATCTGGAGAGATGTCTCAGTAAGGTGCATGCTGCACAAACATGAGGATCTGAGATTATTCCCTCAGAACCTCTATAAAATTGTAAGCATGGTGGTGGTTGTATACACATGTAATCCCAGTGTTTGTGGGTAGAGACAGACTGATCCTTGAACCTTGATGACCAGCCAGTCTAGCCAAATAAATGAGCTCCACATTGAGAGAACATGTAAATTCTCAATCTCTCTCTCTCTCACACACAGACACACACACACACACACACACACACACACACAGTCTTTCTCTCTGTCTCTCTATCCTTTTTCTTTCATTGTTTATAGATTATAAGTAAATTTCAAAAGTTAGTGTTGAAATAGCCTCAATAGAGAATATAATGTAGCCACAATTTGTGATCACAAGGTTTATGTTTTTAAATCATTTAAAGGATACTTGTCCCAAATGTTCTCTGTTGTCTTACACTGAGTCTTATAAATTGGATAGCAGTCAAAATCCATCAGTGTCACAAGCCGTAATAGTCACAATCCACCACAGCATCTGTGGATACCTGCATAAGGCCTGTAGAAAATTAAGCCCTTCCTCATTCCGTCACAGATTGGGGTTTGCAGAGGAAGCTATCAGGCCCTACTTCCTCCAAAAGAGCTGTTGACAATTAATGGTTATGGTGTGTGTGGGGGGTGATTTTCAGTTGGTAAGTTGTCTATGCTCCACTAAATCAGTAAATAACCCCTTATTCAGGCTTATACAAGCAACCCAATTTTAAAATCAGTGGGTCAAGTCCAGCCCACCAAAACATAAAAACAAACAAAAAAACCACCACCACCACCAACAAAACCCTCCAACCCACAAATAACAAGGACACGAAAGTAAGAGATAACCAATTGAAAAAAAGAAGCATGCTAGCGGTAGCAAGAGAATGACAGGAGAGTGTAATGTGAATAAAATCCCAACACATTGTACATAAGTACATATATGTGTATATGAATCACTATCTCAAATAACTGTCAAAAATGATTATGTTAACAAATTAAATAAAAATAAAACATATGAGTGGAAAATTTACTAAATACAAGTAAGATTTTGTTTTTAGTTAGGGGAAATAGATCTTAACAAATACATTCATGGTACTATACAGTGGCAATTCCACAGGAGGTCAAATGAGCAAGTAATGAAATGTTTAATCCTGCCATATTTCTGTTCATCTCAAATTCAGTCAAAATAAAATGTTAAGTGGAAAAATTTCTTCACTCTTTATCTTTATCATCTAACATTGAACAAGCTATCTCAAGTTTATTGGTCCACAGGGGGAAATTACATAATTCTTAATAACATATTCTGCAAAGTATAAGTCAAATGGAACATGTGAATATTCATGTCAGCATTAACATATATAAATGTATATCATCTAACAGCATTAATTTCATTTCATCTAAAGTTCAGAGAAAGAATGAGAAGTTTCAATCGTTAACAGAAATGGAACTCACAGGCTGATCTTACAAAGCATCTCATCTTAGCATATTTATATTATAAATATTCCATATACAACTGTGCCATGGACCCAAACCTTTCTCAGCAGCATATACACTCTGATAAATATTTCAAATCCATAATTTCACATAGGTATCAACTTATTCTGTCTATATTTCTCCAGAAATATTCCATGGTTTTTGTTTCCTCTTTAATATTTTAGAGTAGTTCCCAACTTTGTAATCTTGCTCAGGGGTCCCTCACAGCAGGAACTCTGGTCACTGAGCTGTCTCCTGGAGCAGGGACCTTGAGCAGTGTGCCTCCCTATGCCCCACTGCCCACACTGCCTACCGTTTCCTAAGATTAATCTGAACATACCTATTTATAGTGTTATTTGTTATTATTCAAATAACAGAACTGATCTACAAACTGCTAAGAGGCAGTGTTCAAATTTATGAGAAAGATGAGTAGCAGTTTGGGAATTTAACAACAGTTTTAAAAACTATTTCAAACAAATAAGTATTGCTATTAAAAAGGAAAAGAATAAATTAAAATATTAGTTGAAATTTCCTGTTCTGTTAAATTTCTTAAATTCACCATAGTTTTATCTAATATTGATTAACAGTAAACATTTCTTGTGAGTCTAGCCAAGTAAAGACTGTCCAGGAAATATACTCTTATCAGGTTATTAATCCCTTTTATTTCCTCTCACTGTTGCTCATATGGTTTCTTTAAATGTCTCAATTTTGCTGGTCTTGCTATGTGTAAAATGTAGGAAAAAATGCTGTTCTCTGTCTCCTCTTTTCTTCTTCCTAGTGGAAACCTGAACCTTCTCTTTTTCTGTCATTTAAGTGATTCGGATTTTTTTAAGAAGGAGACCAGACACTAAACTCTTCAGAGTTTCACCCAGTTAGATTTTCCTGAAGACTTTTATGGGGAAAGCCTAATGTCATGACATCTAACACATTTAAGGAAAATTAAAAGGACATAGTTAACTTGGTAACTCAAGTCTCTTTGAAGTTTAACATAG